ACACTAAAGAAAAAACCTTTCATTTCAGAGCACAGTGGCAGAACGTAACAAAGTATTTATTATTGTGCTTAATTAGTGCTAGGTTCAATCTGAAGATTGTTAAGTAGCCTTTTGTTTTCACAGGATTCTTTTCAGTTGAAATGTGGTGCAGTTCTGTGCAAATCAACAGATTTTTGCAAGTGTACATAATCATGTCAAAATCAGAAAATATGTATTTATGAGTAGAAGAAAAAGTACATTGATCCTAGGTATAAGTATTCTGTTTGAAATCTCTGTGTAGAAATGATTCAGCAGCAGCTGAATTGTAAAGGTAGAAAAACACGAGCATTGATGTGCTATTCCACAAGCCATATGAAGGGAGAGAATCACCAAAACTCTGTCCCATTTTTAGAATTCAGTTTTTGGAAGAATTTTCCACTGCTGAAAGGGAAGTAGCAGTGGGAGTTTTGTGAATGGTCTAGATAATAAATAACTCAAATCACACACAGACTGAGGAGTCACAGTGGTTAAAATCCTCCCCCCTCTGAAGTTGATGGGAGACTCCATGGCTGAATGTGAGACACGCAGCCTGCACAAGTGCTGTTTTGACTTTCCTTGCAATGTTGCAAGAGTTTTGTTGATCAATTTGTTTGCCAAACAGACCAAGTGTTGTGGAAGGAGAAGGAAAAGCAGGAGCTACTTTTTCTATTGTAAACGACAGTCAGAAATGCTCATTGATCTGCATCAGTTTTCTTCCCTGGAACCAGACTTTGGATCTCAGGTTGAAAATTTTCTTGCATGTGAGGAGACAGGTGTCCTTAAGACATGAAACTAAAGAAAAACTTTGAAACTAAACTGCCCGCAGGAAGAACAAAGCCAGGAAGCAAAGCCATTTTGGAAAACATGAGTCAAGCACACACACACACAGTTGGAAGCCCATCTAGATGTGGTTCAACACTCACACTAAAGGAGTTTCAACACTCTGAGAGAATAGCACCTATTAGTCACCACCAGAGCTCTCTTTTCCAGTACTTCTTTCTACAAAATATTCTAGAAATTCTCCTAATAGGGAGAAGCTGTTTGAACAACTTTAAATAAATTAGAGAAGTTTAGTTGACATTGGTTTGAAGTGCCACCTTCTTTCTGCTGCGTACAGAGGAACCATAGGACAAAGAAGAGGGATAATTAAGAAAAATATGAGACCAAAGGATTTTAGAAGTTTTGTGTGTGCTAGCAGTGGTTAAATGGTTTGCTGATTGAAGTATTCCCTTTGGGGAAAAAAAATCCTCACAAAAGTACTTGGTATAATCTGAATGTCCTTTTACTGTGCACCCGATACTTGAAAAAAAAGGAAGTCTTGCTAAATGCAGAAGAAAATTCTGGCATTTCATGTACACACACATTAAAAAATGTTTGAAAACATTAGTATGAAAAGGCAATGAATCTCCCTGCTAAAACTGTCTGTGTCTGTGAGAGATAAGAGGGCAGGAGGAAGGAGAAAGAACAGTAATTTCTTTTAAATTATTCTTGTAATCCATTTACTTACAGCACAGCACCTACAAAACACCTTGCAATGACTGGGCAGATGCTCTGGCAGAAATAAGGACTCTCACTGTTCCCTCACTTTTCCATTTCCTTGCAATTCACTTTTTTTTTCTAAAGCAGTGATTTCTTCAGTTCAGGTATTGTTCACAGTGGCATGCTAATAGAGAGCTCTACTCACCAATGCAATAGAAATTATTAACAGGAAGGAATTATTAGCATACCAGCATTCATGTGGTTAAACATGCCTATGAAGTCTTTGGCGGCCTTTTGTTTTGCAATTTCTACAGCTCAACTTAGCGGCTCCCACAGCTTTGAAGTTCTCTGTGGGGGAGAAACCTGCAGAACCCACCAGTCATCACAAGGACTGGCCATTCAAGGCCTTGCCCTGCACAAGAGGGGAGCAATTACTGGAAAAAGTTTGTCTTAACACTTTTGTTTTGCCCAAAGGAAGATATTCTGGTCAAGCCTATGGAGCCCAGCTCCATTCCAGAATTTTGAAGGAAAAACTCAGAAGGACGAACAATGGGTATTTAAGCTAGTGTCTTCAAAAGATTCATAAGAGGGAGTAAGTGTTGTTTGTGCTACATTTGATAAAACTTGGGAAGTATAAAATATATCTCAAAAGTTATGAGGAAGGCTTAGGGACAGGCAGTGAGGCACAAGCAGCAGCAGGGACGGTTGTGTCAGCTACAGTAAGTTCTGGGGGCTGAGCATGAGAATGAGCAGGGCAGGGGGTTCCTGGAGTCAGGGACACCCAAGCCAGGGCCTAAAGAAGTCATACAAGGAGCTGCTGAGTTCATTTGGCTTGTTCAGCCTGGCAAAGACCTCACAGCTGCCTGCAGCTTCCTCACAAGGAGAAACAGAGGGGCAGGTACTGATCTCTGCTCGGTGACAGAACCCAAGGGAACAGTGGAAAGCTGTGACAGGGAAGGTTCAGGTTGGGTGTCAGGAAATGGTTCTTCACCTGGAGGGTGGTTGGGCACTCAAACAGGTTCCCAAGGGAAGTGGTCACAGCACCAAGCCTGACAGAGTTCAAGAAGCGTTTGAACAACATTTTCAGGCACAATCCTTAGGATGGGGCTGTGTGGGGCCAGGAGTTAGACACAATGATCCTGATAATTCTCTTCCAACTCAGGGGATTCTGTGGATGATTGAAGAGCTGAGAGACCTGGAGGCAGCTCTCTCAAGTAGGGTGATGTGTCAAGGGTGTTGCCACGGGCAACTATGGCAGATTTCAGTGACACAGGAATCTTCAGCTGGGGAGGGGAGCAGTAACAGTGGTAAGAGTGGGCTGGGCAGGAGAAGAAACTGGGCAGGAGTGCAAAGAAAGGACAGCTGGTCGAGGTTACATGCAGGCTGCTGAACAGGAGAAGTCTGCTGATGAGGCCTTCTTGCTTTGGCTGCAGGGCACATCATCCTCACCACCTCTCATCCTCATGGGAGGGTTCAACCACCCAGACATCTGCTGGGAGAGCAATACAGCCAGCTGTAAACAATCCAGAACATTCTTGGAGTGTGCAGAGGAAAACTACCTGGTCCAGGTATTGGCCAGACCAACGCAGGAGGAGCATGACCGGGCCTGGTGCTCACTGATGCAGATGAGCTCATTAGAGGGGTTAAGTCTGGACACAGCCTGGGCAGCAGTGACCATGCCCTGGTGAAATTCATGATCTCATAGAGTGTGGGCCTGGAAAGGACAATGGTCAGGACCCTGAAGATTAGAAGAGAAGAACTTTAACCAGTTTAAGCAGTTGGTGAATTAGATCCCTTGGGTAACTGTCCTTACGGGCATGGGGGCTGACCAGAGCTGGCAGCACTTTAAGGCCACTTTCCTTAAAGCACAAGAGCTCACCATCATGATGTGTAGAAAATCTTGCCAGGAAGGCCAGAAAACGGTATGGCTGAGCTTCAAAGATCTGTTCCTCAAATTGAGAAGGAAGAGGAAAATGCACAGCCAGTGTATCAGGGACACGTGACTTGAAGAGAGTACTGGGATATGGTTCAGATGTGTAGGGACAGCATGAGGAAAGCCAAGGCACAGATGGAACTGGGCCTTGTTCACAAGACATTTGAAGAATAGCAAGAAGTAATTCTATTAAGGATATAGGGAAGAAGAGAAAGGCCAGAGAGGTAATGGTCCCTTATAGGTGAGAATGGAGAACTGGTAACAGCAGATACAGAGAAAGCTGAAGTACTCAATGAATTCCTCCCCTCAGTCTTCACCAGCTTGTAGTCAGTTTACCACATCTCTCAAGTTCTTGAACTTTAGGTGGGTGTTGGGGGACTGAAGCTGTGAGCAAAGAGCAGGTCCTGGGCCACTTGATGAAACTGAACAACCACAAGTCTATGGACTCTGTCAACATGATCCCAGGGAAATCCTGTCCCTGAGGGGAAACTGAGTGCTGTTTTGGCCAAGCATTTCCCATCATATTTGAAAAGTGATGTCAGTGAGGCCAAGTACCTGGTGACTAGAAAAAGGGAAGCATTGCTCCATTTTTAAGAAGGGAAGTAAGGAAGGTGTGAAGAATTACAAACCTTTTAGCCTGACCTCTGTGCCTGGGAAGATAATGTTGCAGATCCTCATGGAAGCACTGTTGAATCACATATAAGATCAGGAAGTGATCTGAGATGAACAGCATGACCTTATAAAGAAAAAATCATGCCTGACCACTCTGCTGGCCTTCTATGGTGGAGTGACTGCAAGAGTCAAGAGCTCCCAGCCAGTACAATTTGATTTCACATCAGTGCTGTGAGTGAGCAAGTAGGCAGCTTGATCCTGATCTGAACTCCTAACTCTTCTGCTCTGTGGCAGCCCTAGTCACAGTGTGTACAGAGTAGAAGACAACTGTAGTTCAATAAAAAAAAATTTAATAGTTTGTCTTGGCACAGTAATTAACTTTTTGGATCACCTCTGTCTCGCTTGAAAGTAACAGTATCCTGGGTCCACCATTGTTTTCAGTGATTTTGGTAGTCTTTGGATGTCAGTTGGAATCTGTAGACTGTACTGCCATTAGGGGCATTAAAAGTGAAGCTCTACACAGAACATTCCACATAGTCTGTAATACAGCAGAGTAATTATAAATCAACTTCACTTTTCACTGCCACCTTGTGAGAAAATTGGTAAGAAGAGAAGATATTCTGGGTGATATTTGGGGTAAACTGTAAAAAATGGGTGATGTGGAAGGCCAAGATGCTTTCCACTATGCATTGATGTTGTTGGCACGAGGGCAGAAAGAATTTTTCTCCTTTTATTTTCGCTGATCATGGCATGGAAATGCAATATAATGAGAAATGGCACAGCAATAGGAAGCACTCAGTATAAGCTCTTATATAGATAAGTGTAACATAGAACGGGATGAGAAAAGCAGCAGACTAGCTTCTAGCCTGTTACCCTTGTAATCTTCAGCATCATTGCAAGGGTCTCTTTAGATTTTCCAGTGCATTTTGTAACAGACATTAGATACATGAGTCCAAAATCTAATGGTTGGAATTGACTTTATTTTTGGAATTTTTAGTAGGACCAACTTTCGTGTGAAGTACTGTAATTTGTGACACACGTAGCAGGACATACAGTAGTACCCTTCTTGGTAGGGTGTGCTACCTGCCCCGGTGCCCCTCAGGGGTGTGGGATCTCCACCGGGATTGACGAGATCGGCTCCCTGTTGCCCGTGATTCCCATTGTGCCCGCTGACGATGCTCACTCCTCCCCATGCGCACTGGGACATCCCGTTCGTGCCTTGTAGCTTGGTCCCAACTGCGAGAAGTTTCAGAAGCCGTGCTGTGAGCCCTGCTGTGCTGCCATCTCCTGCTGCTGGAGGGGTCATAACTCCCAGTCTGCTGACCCCTGCTGTGGCTATCGTGGCTCCGCCTCCGGGACCTGCTGCGGTCCCTTCCCCAGTCTCTGGCACGGATGCTGCTGCGCTCATCGCTGGAAGATCTGCGGTGACGGTGGCCTGTGGAATGATGCCACCTCCTTTCTGCAGAGTGGTGATGAACTCTCCTTCCTCGATTATATCTTGCAGAGCTTGTGTAGTGCCCTATCGAGTATACCTCATAGTTATTGTCTCCCACTTTGCGGAGGAGGTATCGGAAAGGCTCCCGGCAGATGGGGCACACAGCTCTGTTGCGGGACCATTCCAGTATGCAAGGAAAGCAGAAAGCATGGCTGCACCAGCTCACTGACACTTGGTTGTTAATGATGTCCAAGCAGATTGGGCACATTTGGTTCTCTGAGTTATGTGGAGACTCAGCCTGGAGCACCTGGTCATTGCTGGCAGTAGAGGAAGAGATGCCACCTTCTGCCAAGCCCTTCTGCAATGCCATCTGGCACTGCAAACCAAAGAGACACGAGGCTCCTGGCCTGGCCTGGAGACACAATCCAGAGATGCAGTCTGCAGACAGCAGCCAAAGAACTGTCCATTCTACCTCAAGGCCATGCTTGAGCTGCCACAAGGGCCAGGGACTATATGGGGCAGACAAGGTGACAACTCTCAGGGCAGGGCAGTGACTGACCTCTCTGATTTGTGCAACCAGGAATTGTGAAGGTGTAGAACAGTTTCTGGCCTCTCAGCAGCAGCAGCTGAAGCCTGAGAATGTGGCAGGTGGGGACCAGCTCCCCAGGTCCTGCTGCTATTGCTGCACAGGAAATCCTCTCTATACCCTCAGAAAGCAGCCAACAAGATGGGGGTCCATCCTTCCCCCACCTGCCGATGCCTGTCCTCGTTGGAGGAGGGCAGGCATTCTGATCCTTCAGGGCTGCCCCACACTGCAAAAGGGACTGGTGTCACACATGTCACAATGAGTTTCTGATGACACCACAGGGCTTTCAGGAACTACCAGAGAGAACACACAAGCTCTGGCCTCAGGGAACAAAAGCTTCCCAGGTAGCTTGTCTCATTAGGCTGCCTTGCTATCAAGCAGTATTCCATTTCTGTATTTTTTATATAAAGTCACAGGTTTCACCATTCATACCCAGCACTACCTTCTGGTTTAGGAATAAACCAGTTCAAGGTGTTTTTTCTAGCTTCTACCTTCTAGCTTTTTATTCTCCTAACCTGGTCATCCTTACAGAGGTCTCTAGATTTTTTGATGTGTTTTCTGATGGAGAAGAGATTCTATGCTCCAAGCTTGATGGTTGGAATTTACTTTATTTTTGGAATTGTCCGTAGGACCAGTTTTGGTGTAAAGTACTACAGTTTGTGACACAAGTAATAGGACATACAGTAGTAGTCTTCTTGGTAGGGTGTGCTAGCTTTCCCTGTGCCCCTCAGGGCTGGGATGTCTGCTGGGATTGATGGGATCGACTCCTTGTTGCTTGGGGTTCCCTGGAGGAATCCCATTGTGCCTGCTGATGGTCCTCACTCCTTCCCAAGGAGTCGGGGACATCCTGTTCATGCCTTGCAGGTTGTCCCTCATTGTGATCCCTCCTTCTCTGCTCTTCTCTCTGTGTTTGTCGTGAAGCAGTATGGGACCTGCTCCGAAATCGTCTGCTTGTTGCCCGTGATTCCCTGGATGATTCCCATTGTGCCCGCTGACGATGCTCACTCCTCCCCATGCGCACTGGGACATCCCGTTCGTGCCTTGCAGCTTGGTCCCAACCACGAGAAGTTTCAGAAGCCGTGCCGTGAGCCCTGCTGTGCTGCCATCTCCTGCTGCTGGAGGGGTCATAACTCCCAGTCTGCTGACCCCTGCTGTGGCCATCATGGTTCCGCCTCCGGGACCTGCTGCGGTCCCTTCCCCAGTCTCTGGCACGGATGCTGCTGCGCTGTTCACTGGAAGATCTGCGGTGACGGTGGCCTGTGGAATGATGCCACCTCCTTTCTGCAGAGTGGTGACGACCTCTCCTTCCTCGATTACGTCTGGTAGAGCTGGTGTAGTACACCTCATAGTTATTCTCTCCCACCTTGCGGAAGAGGTATTTGAAGGGCTCCTGGCAGATGGGGCACACAGGTCTGATGCAAGCCCATTCCAGTATGCAAGGAAAGCAGAAAGTGTGTCTACACCAGCTCACGGAGGTTTCCTCCTCAATGGTGTCCAGGCAGATTGGGCACTCAAAAGCTCTTTGAGGGAGAGCCAGGGGCACCTGGTTGTTGCTGGCAGTAGAGGAAGAGATGTCACCTTCTGAGAAAGCCTCCTCCAATGCACTGCAAGCCAAAGAGACACGAGGCTCCTGGCCTGGCCTGGAGGCACAGTCCAGAGATGCAGTCTGCAGACAGCAGCCAAGCTGTCCACATCAAGCACCAAAGAGCTGCCCATTCTACCTCAAGGCTGTGCTTGAGCTGCCACAAGGGCCAGGGACTATATGGGGCAGACAAGTGACACCAGAGGTGTCTCTGCATGTGACAACTCTCAGGGCAGGGCAGTGACTGACCTCTCTGAAGCAGTTCCTGGCTTCTCAGCAACAGCAGCTGAAGCCTGGGAGTGCATCAGGTTGGGACCTGCTCCCCAGGTCCTGCTGCTCTTGCCACATAACAAATCCTCCCGCACGTATAGATTTCCCCAGTGGAGGAGGGCAGGCATTCTGGTGCTTCGGGGCTGGCCCACAGTGCAAAAGGTACTGATGTCACACATGTCACAATGAGTTTCTGGTGACATCACAGGGCTTTCAGGAACTACCAGACAGAACACACAAGTTCTGATCTCAGGGAACGTAAAATTCCCAGATTCACTAGGCTGCCTTGCTATCAAGCAGTATTCCATTTCTGTATTTTTTATATAAAATCACAGGCTTCATCATTAATACCTAGTACTATGTTTTGTCAGAAATAAACCATCTTGAGTCATTTCTTACTCTGCTGACTTTGCAGGTCTGATTCAACTCCTCCTGATCAGTGGTGGTAAGGCAACACCTGGAGTACTGTGCCCATTGCAGGACTCACCCTCATGAGAGAGAGATGGGTGTATGGGAGAGCACCAGTGAAAGTTCTACAGGACAATTAAGGAACTAGAGCATCTCCCCTGTTATGAAGTGCTGAAAGCACTGCCTACAGACTCTTCAACCTGAAGAAGACTCTGAAAGAGGTAATTTTTTAAGGTATATCCATACATGACAGGATGGTGCAGAGAAGACTGAGCCAGGCTTTTTTAAGGGATGCCCAGTGACAACAGACACAAAACAAAACACTGAAAAGCAAAAGCCTTCCCTTTGAACATCAGAACACCTCTTTTTTGCTCCCACAGTGACTGAGCAGTGACAGATCTAGCCCAGGGTGCTGATGAGATGATCTTCTTTAGAGTAACTCAGAAGCTGTGTGACTGTGATCCCTGGCCACCAACTTCCAGTGGCTCTGCTTGAGCAGGGGAAGTTGGACCAGCTGACCTCTGGCAGTCTTTTTTCACCTCATACTGAGGTGATTCTGTGACTCAAAGCACACTTATGCAAGCTAAGAAAGCATGTTTGGGCTGCCTGATGTGGGAAGATTTCAATGCTCTTTATGCTCGTGAAGAGTCATGTTTGCCTTGTAAAAGTCAATCATCCATGAATCTACTACTTTTCCCCTCTGTGGGCTTTATCGGTGACTGCACAGAAAACTAACAAGTAGATTTCTAACAAGAAAGCATGCGTGCTGTAAAGAGTTAAACACCCCCCTAATGTTACTGGTAGGTTTTCATAGCATGCATTGCATGTGACCATAGTTTTCCCAGGCGCTCATCAAGTCGACTAATTCAACTTGCTGCATGTCAGTGCTATGAGTGAGAAAGCAGGCAGCTTGATCCTGATGTGAATTCCTTGATGGCAGCATCCTAACCCTTCTGCTCTGTAGAAGTCCTAGTCATGGAGTGACACAGAAAGTATAGAGTCAAGGACAACTGTAGTTCAGTACAAAAATTGATTACGGTTTGTATTCAGTCAAAGTTTGGATCACCTCTATCTTTTGACAAAGCTCCTCTTCATACCAGTCTTATTGGAAAGTAGAAGTTTTCAAGACTCCCAGTAATACTGTTGAAACCTTACCTCCATACGCTTCCAAACTGAACCCTGTGTGTCCAGCAAAAAGTTTTGTTTAGGCCTTTGTGGTCCCTCAAACAAGTGGAATTATCAGCACAGATTAATATCTGCAATTAAGCCTGCCTACTCATCATTGCTTAACACACCTTACACAGGATGGTTTTCGCTGTTCTGTGGACCAACCCTCACCACTCCAAAATGATCAAGGAGAGATGTGACTGGTATCCTGGGGACAGGATCAGGACTGCTATAGAGCATGAATGGTGAAGTCCTAGTAGACAAAATAAACTCAGTACCAAGTGTTTTATACCAATTGAAAACAATTGCTCTTATCAGGGATATTACCTCAATGGGAAAGAATTGATGAAAAGGATTTCCAGCTTGTATTATGACTGTTCTAGTTACTGCCTGTACCAATACCTATTAGTGGTATCCAAACTCAATTGTGGATACAACTTCCTGCAGCAGCAATTATAAGAGAAGGCAATGTACCTTGCCAACTAAAATTCATAAAGTAATCTGGGATAATGCAAATAATTTCAAAGATAATTTCCGTTTTGGTGGCATCTAGTTAATTTCACCTATGACCCTACCAGTTAGTAAAGATTTTATTCTAATAATACACACTGCTTCAGCTTACATCACATACCAAATCATTGCTCAAGGATTAAATAATTGTGGAATTATTCCCTATCTGATATAGTACAGAGTATGGGTCCAGCAAAATGGGAACAAATAGCAAACTGTTCATGTTGATGCATGTGTTGCATGGGAACAACAAGGATTTATTGGTGGAAATAACATGATTAAGGCACAAGACATTTATCTTGACACTGAACAAAATGTTTGTTAATTTGAAATCCATCCTGATGAAAACCTTGGAACTGTGCTTATATATGTTGGAAAGAGATGTGTTTGTGTGAGAATTATTCCTGATTCCATATTGAGAAATAACATCTCTACAGAAATAAGCAAACATCTGCTTTCATAATTTTCCCTAAATTAGATGATTCTGTCACAACCCACGAATTGCTGCAATCTAGCTACACATCCTGTCAAGATTTATTGCCTACCCCCATTGGAATGAACCTTGCACTGGTGAAAAAACTACTGCAGCACAACAACATGTGTTAACTGCTGGAACTTGTCTGAAGCAAAGGACAATGGACACAGAACTTAATCACTGTTCATTCTGCTATAGAAGAGCTACACCACGTCTTGGAAAGAATGAAGAAAGACTAGAAGACATCATTAGTGGGACATTTTGTTCATCTGGCCACCACCAACAGCTGAACAAATGTTGCACACCATCAATAATTTTGTTGTTTTCTGTCATGTTAAGCTTATTGTTAAATATTGTTTTATATGTTAGAGTTTGCATACTAGCACTATTGCATGCATCTCCTCACATAATATTGTTCTATCACATTCAACAAGGTCTTCAAAAAATTGGATCTGGTAACCTGATAAAAATTTTCTTCCATTTATAATTGAAGCATAATATATATCTGTTTACAACCACAGAGGCAAGAGGGTGACCATTCACTGAAGCAAGAGAAAGATTGACTTTAGTCATGGATTGTGCTGGTGCTGGGGGAAAACTCACTGCAGAGTGACAGATATATCCCTACCAGCCTTCCTTGCCTTCTCAGGTGCCCTAAAACAATTGGTATAAGGCTCTGAAACTTGAGGGGCAGGCAAATGACACAGTAGATGAAGATCCTTACGGGGGGCTAGTCAGTTAACCCCATGCATTACAACTGATTCAAGTTCAATTTTTGCCAAAGTCAAGTTTTTAGTAGCAAAAACCGGTTTTCTCCTTCCTTTGAAACTCCATAAACATTTGGTTGAGCAGCAGGCACTGCTCTGCAATTTTAAAAGCTTTTCAAAAAGTTTATGGAATTTCATGCCCCAAATCCAGATTGTGTCTAATTATTTTCCTCTATCACACAACCTGTTCAAATTCTATGCTTACAGTGATCACCTCCAGAAGAATGAAAATTCAGTATTTTTCCCCCAGGGAAGCTGTTACAGATGTGCATGACATAGTTTCCTTTTTTTTCCTTTTTTGAAATTAATGCAATATTTTAAATATCCTGAATATAAATTTCTCTCTTTTCTCACTTACTACTAATTCTGAAGGAAAAACAGGAGATGGTCTTATTTCCTTAGCAACAGAGTCAGGTGTGATTTATGCCACTGTGTGTTCCTGCAGCTGTCTCCAGGCAACAAAACAAACTGCAATGCCAACTCTTGTAGGCACAATGTATGGAGAGGGCTGAGGGAAAACTTTGGAGCCCAAATACCTGTCCCTCGTGTCAAACAGGAGGTGAGACTGAACAGATGTGGAGTTTTCCTGGAAAAAGAAATGAATTGAATATTCTAAACATATCAGTTCAGCCTGACAAATGCTCAGTATGCAAGGAGGAGTCTATTTTAAATCAGTCAGTGTTTAGGAGACAGCTGTAGATGTGTCTTAACATTTTACCAAGGTTTTGCCTTAGCTTATGAAAGTGGTACCACTGTGCTCTCTCTGAGCTCAGAGGAGACATCTCAGAGTCTCTGCACAGCAAGAGCTCTTGTGAAAAACAGAGTAATTGCAAGGAAAAAAAATCAGTAATAATTCACTGTTAAAGTAGTTGCCAAAATTTGCCAAACTTAATTTGCCATTTCAAAGCTGTTTCCTCTTTGAAGTCAAGAGGCTTGCGTCTACAATTGTATCATGTTGGCAAACACTGTGTCTCTAAATAACAACTTTAAAGCTAGTGAGGCTTGCCAAATGCAATCATGACAGATAACACTATTTTCCTGAAAAAAATTACTAGTTTTCGTTAAGGTGAAATTTGCTTTGGATTCTGAGATTTTATGAGGAAAAGCTGCAGTTTGTGCATCAGTCTCAGCAAGCCAATACCTTTTAGGTGCTTGTCAGGTGCAGGGCTAAGACCTGGGTGGGTGGGTGAAAGCAAGAAAGCAAGCAACCCTCCCTTGCTTAAACATTTCATCTCCACTACTATCTTACTCATACTGGAAACCCATAAAACCTCTGAAATACTGGGATTTCACTGGTGCTGGAGGCAGTGCACCCATGTTTCACCCCCTGAGCACATGCTGTCCATGCCAGCCCAGATGCAGAGGAAGAGTGGGCAGAGAGCATCACCCCGCCCTGGAGTTTCCCTGCCGTGTCACTGTGAACTTGCTGTTTTCTTTTGGCCTTTGAGAAATGGAAAATACCCACAGGCCAGGGCACTCCACTTGCTGCATGCAGCACCAGCATCCATGGCTTACAATACCAACAAGCAGAGGGAAAGACTTTGTAAAGACCACTAGACCAGCCCTCATTTTTATGGATTGGCTCCAAAATGGCATGAAGATGTAAGAGCTGAGTTGCTGAGGCCAGGTTTGTATCTCTACTAGAAGCACAGGTCAGGGTTCATCCCAGCCTGGTAACCAATTAACTGCTGTTTCTGCCTTCCACAGTGAGAAATCAATTTACCATCATCATTCAAACTTTCAAGTTTTCAATTCCTGGGCTTCTACCTAAGCAGACAGGTTGCTCTGAAGCCAACCTGCCTCATTCCAGCACATTAGGCAATAGCCATCTTGCCTGGTACTTGTGAAAATTGCTTGCGGTTTTTTTCAATATATTTGTGCTAAATGGTTTCTTCCTCTCCTCTCCTCTCCTCGAGTCTCCTCTCCTCGAGTCTCCTCCCCTCCCCTCCCCATTCCCCTCCT